TACCGTCTGGACTCGAACTTAGGACCTCCCAGTCAGAGGGACAGCAGTGACATCAGTTGATGCCATAAGCAATCTCTCCCGGTACCACTGAGGGACCATCTATAACTAACGTGAGGCCATGGGGGGGGGGTCAAGGCGAATTTCACCTAATATACGCGGAGAAAGAGGTATTACGTTTTTTTTTCTCTGAAAAGAATGCTAAGTGGCGAGAAAACTGAGCCAAGTGAAGTAAAACACGTTTCTATACTATAACATGGCTAAATCTTGTCCAATAATTTGTATCGCGGTTATGTGGATTCTACAATAAGTAGCATAGTATACTGAGAAAAAGAATCTTACAAAATTACCTAAATAAATATAATTAAGCAAATTGTTTTACAAATAAATACCAATGCAATCAATTACAAATTAACGTATTTACATTAACAATACGCATTTCGGAAAATCTCATGTGAGATTAGAAGGGGGCCAAATCTCACAACTCACCACGAGGGGAGCGGAGTCGAAATATCGCCTCAAGTAATTTATGGACGGCTCCAAAGATCCTCATTTTCAAGATGGAGGCTCAGAAGTACAGTAATTGTATTCATGGGTTGTTTGTGTTTTGGAGTTATGTTCGAGTTGATTGAGGGTTGTCATTATTCCCGAGGTCTTCAATTCCAATAATCCCAAAACGTCCAGACAAAGTACAGTCCGTTTATGCGGAACCTTAGAGATCAATAGCCACTGTCGACGGCGAGCGTCAAGGCAGCGCCCCAGCGATTGGGAGGTCGCGGGTTCGATCTCCGCCACGAGTCGGGCACTTGCGTCGCGTGTTCGATCACGGGCGAGATCGGGGCACCGGCCGCACCCGAATCCGCCTGCTCCCGTGCGACCAGCGTTGGGGACTGCTCGTGGCTCGCCATGGGATAAACGGAATGTAAAGAATAGTTATTTATGCACAAAGAGCGTTATAATGGTTCTAATGGTCGAGGGCCTTTTGTCCGAGGGCTTTTTGTCGCCCGAAATCATTAGAACCAATTAATGCACGTGGTATGTACATGATTTTACTTTTTACCTTTGCATTGATTCAGATTTACTTATTTACCAATTAATTAGATATTAACTTGACTCGGTTTGGCTTTTCGTGTTTCCCTTCCATAATTACCTCCAAAAGAGAATACGTTGCATCATTCAACTGTTTTCATATTTCCCTCGTAATGTCGATCTTTTCGATCCAGGTAAGTTATGCAGAAAATACAGACCTTCGTATCAAAGGTAGTAACAGGCAATAATATATAGGTAAAAAATAAAGTAATAAATATGCAGCGTCTTGAATAAAAAAATCATAGGCATTACGAGGGGCGCCCAATGAAAACAAGGGGCCTGGGGGCAGTAGAACCATTGGGACCCCTATTTCAAGCAAACGTTCCTCCAATTCATTACTATCATTAATTATTAACATATTTTAAAGTGAATAATATTTCAACTTAAGTATTTTTTTCAAAATGTGTATTGAAGGAAATACATTTGATATGCATTTACGGGACCTCGCTCAAGTAGCCCCAGCTGCCCCACCCTCTCAACGCCCCTGTGCTTTATGAAAGTAAAGAATAATGCCAATTGACAAAATTTCAAATCGGAGGTTACACGGGTTTCGGAGTTTCTATTAGCATTAGCAACTATCGACCATAATGTTGCAGATGTATTTATTCACTGATAAGGAGTACGTGTCCGTCACACGACAACTCGTCCATGAAGCCCCCCTCTAGCACCTTTCAACGCCCGAGAAGCAATCTGACATCGCACGGGATTTACGCCAGCCACACATCGCACACGCCGAAGATCCACAGCGTTACGTAAAGCTGGCGAGAGGCACCGGCGAGCTCCTACACTCCGATTAAAACGCATGGCGAATTGACTTCTGAATAGCTGAGACTCGGTTATCCAATCGGGAGCTTCGACCATAACAAAACTGTGTGTGTGTGTACACTTGTTATAATATCCTGTCCAATTTTTCTGTGTGAATTCACCAAGATAGTCTGAACACATATGACGTGATTACTTTCATTACTGCACCATTTGTCGTGCCTTAAAGAACAACTTTCCAACATAAGAAAAAATTAGTGGTGCTACAGAATGGCACAGACTTTTTTCTGTATTCGTTTTGTTTCCTTTGGTCTCTGTTAGCTATTCGAACTTTCCACATATTCTTACCTGCATCTATCGCCGCCCAAAGCACATTTTTTGACATTTTCTTAATTTTTCGGTTTCCGAATTGCAGAACGGAAGTATTATTTTAACACTATTAGAGCTCAGTAAAACCTCGTCCTAAATGGCAATTTTCTTTGAAAAATTTGGAGCCATTAAAAAAACAACAACTGACGTTTAAGCGCTATTGTAAATTCGAAATTAGAAGCTAGTTTTTACAGAATGTTTTTTAGTATTCAAAAATCTTCATTTGAAGGCATTTTAAGTACTTCAACGCAAAAATTCAAATACAATAGTGTTTATAAATTACTAGAAAATTACTATGTGCAAATCAACGGCGTGAGCAACCTTTCAAAAAATTTATATTTGTTTAATTTGTGAAAAAAAATACACTGAAATTAACTTTACGGCACATTACGTCGTAAAGAGTGCAATTACCACTATTCGTTCAAAATGTTTGTAGAAAAATATTTGGAGCATTTAAAAAAAAAAAAAGGCGTTTGAGCGTTTCTGATAATGAGGAGTTTTGAGTTAGTTCTCACAGAAAACAGTTTTCGAGAAACTATATACGACATTATTTAAGGCACATATAATCAAATACAATAATGTGAATAAATATTAACGACATGAGAGGCAAGTGTGGCGTTTGTCATCTTATATAGTATATTTAGCACTATCCCTACCAAATGTTTAAAGCAAAAATTGGAGCCATTTTTTGAGAAAATCTTGTTTTTTGTAATTTTTTACAATTGCACATCTTACACGCAATATTGCGTGAAAAGTACTGAAATCTTCAAAAAAATGTACATAATTTTATGAAATGAACTCACTATGGAGAACTAATTTTATTTGAAGGATAAATCTGTATCTTCAATTTTTTACTTTTAGGAAGACACGAAAACAAAAATTGAAATTTTCGAAAATTTGGAGTTAAAACCTAGAAATTGGGCCCTTGCCATCTTCATAAGTGTATTTTACTCTATTCTTACAAGAATGTTTTTAAAAAAATTGCAGCTGTTTTTGAAAAAAATTGAAAATGTACAGGGGCTTCATGTAAAGTACCCCAAATTTTTAAAGATAGTTTTTCAAAACCTTACAGATTCGACACGGGCCAGATCGATATGGGTTTCTTCAATTTGAAAAAAAACAACACTTTTTCGGTATCAGGGGACCCCAAAACAAGTATGTCCGTCGAAATCTCGAAATCGATTTCCCGCAGCATAACATAGCTTTCTCTACACTACATATATTATCCCGTATGCACGTACGTATACGGGAAAGTAAAAATGCTTTTTTGATTTGTTCCCTTTCTCCTTATGCTGATTCAAATTGTCACCTTTCCCGTAACCATGTTAGACGCAAATTAATCTGGGGGTCAACCCGAAAGCTTGGGTTCGAATCCCAGTCGAGGCGACTAATTCTTTGAACAAATTTAATTATCAAAAAATGAAGTTGTAACAAAGCTTTAGTTTGGCAGCTGAGCAACCCACATTTTCATCGGGCACGGTTAGTGAATAGGAAGCTTCAATATCAAACTCAAAAGTTGTAACAAAGCTCCTGATTAGATAACCGCTCCACTGCTGTTCGTCCCCCCACATTTTAATCAGTATAAACAAACTGACGACCAAGTTGCAACGGCGCGCAAGCGTGTTTCACAATTCTATTGCTATTTTTATTGTAATAATTCTAAAGATCTTTCAATAATTTTGTATTCACTCTCGTGATGTCTATAGGAAACTTTTGTATTTCAAGTTTCGTAAACTGACAATGAAGTGAGAAACCACAGTTTATGAAGCCAGGAGAAGTTTCGAACAAATGACAATTTCTTCGATGTCCACACATTTTTTAATCAATTGTATTGCACTTTCCACGTTAAAGTCGGAATGAGCACTCAAATGTAATTAATATTCTTTTTCAAAATTCTTTTTAATATTACTACATTATTATTCACAAACCATTATGTCATTTTAATACTTTCAAATTACACATCAAAAACATTTATATCAAATGTGGGCACAATGAGTAAAATAACTAGAATGGCTTCAGCTTAGTTGGTTGATGTTTTTAATAGAACATTTTCCTTTAATATTCAGAAAATTAAAATAAGATTGGTTTTGTTTTAATGTATTTTATGTCAAAGAATTGTAGTACTCCTTCCCACTCATTTTTTCAATTTATTAAGTTAATTGACATCTTTGGTCATGGAATAGAATCAATTTTAAATTATTAATAATTGAGGAAGTTCTTCAAGAGAAAACATTTCCCTAACAAATTAAAAGCACTAAACAATACTTGGACTTTCACTACAATATCTTGCTTTCAAGCACATAAAGCATTATAATCTTACAAAACAACTTTTAATTTGAATCTTTTACATAACAACATGGGAATATAAAGGATTGGAGTGATTAAATGATGATTCTTAAAGTTCGAAGACAGGCTCCAGGATACAGGAAACTTCAGGTGATTTTTAACTGAATATGGGCTGTGATAAATATATCACTTACTGATAAACACAAAATGCAGCCAACCCATATGATTTGAATACAAATATTACATAAGGATTTGATATAGGACCAAATAAATAATACATGTTTACAGAAAATACTCAGTGGGTGTAGCAAAGCCTTGTATATACAAGCATAAAAACATATCAGCCTACGTGTCACTCATAAAAGCGTATTTATCCATGAATAATCACAATCTTTAAATGAACACCTATATTATAATATGAATAATAATATTTTTTTAAGTATTCGATATGATTTATTCCTCACACAATCTAGAGAATATAATGTAGATACAAATATTTATGCACTCTCTATGTTGGGAAAAGCAGATCCAGGATAAGGATCCAGCTGTTTCAAGGTCACATAGCTAATAGGTCTGGAAATCATAACAAAATTTATGGATTTAAAATAATTGTTTTTATTTTATATTCTGAATTATTGCTTATTTTATTCTAATAAACTGAACTTCTAATTACCTATGAAGAATTTCTACCTGACATGTTCATCTTGTTTGAAAGGATTTCCTCGGTTTCTAAAAATTCCTCCTGATCATTTCATCATTAAAATGCACCTCAATATATTTAACATAAAAAACAACTGAAGGGTAGATAATAAAGATTTTAAACATTTGATTATATAATGGAATGAAGAACAGGATTCACCTAACCTCAAACTACCGACTCACCATAAGCTTAAAAGAAAAGCATTCTTCATTACTTGCTTTAAAAAGAACTGAAGCAAGATACAACAACAAAATTTACTCTCTAATAAACTATTTCATGTAAGTATTTAAAGTTAAAAATGTAGAAAGATACACTTCTGATTCTTACTAAGAATAAAAATCTAGAATTTGGTTACGTATCTTCTGTCAGCTTTTCTTTGCTGTACCTCTCAAATTTCAAGTTTATTCTTCTTTTTTAATTAAAAAATCTGAATTCATGTAATGCCTCATTTTCACAATCTAGAATCTTGTACAAAAAATTTAGAACACACATACTAGTACTAGGCTTGCATTTTTAATGGATCACAGAGATTTTACCCTAAAAATTTGTACTAAAGATAAAATAACGATCGAAACAAGTACTAATAGCATAAAAATTGACACTACAAGGACTACTCCATTTGTAAATTTTGAAAGTACGATGTGACAATGATAACAATAAAAACAGGATAATTTATATACAAGAAAATTAACAGTCGCAATTCTAACCCTACCAAAATATTTATGGTTCCAAATTTTTTCTAACACATCTAGACTGATTTCCTAGAACCTTATCCAAAAATCGCAGTGAAAAACAAAAAAAATTGTACTACTGATTTTCAGTGACAGAATCCATAGAATTTCAATTGAAGAAAAATACCCTTCTTAGGCATTCATACTAAAAATGTGTACACGGCCATTCATAGATCATGAAGAAAAACAAACTCCACAAAAGAGAAACTATCAAAAACGCTAAGAGATATCATTTTTGCAAGAGGTGCTGAGGGGTCAATGTAAATGACTTCTCAATGATCAATTAGAGGTCAATGAATGTAACCCTAGAGAACAATAGAATTTTTTTTATGGTTATGTTTGAGTTCATCTGGAAGTACAAACCTAGAGGGATCAGAGAGGTAAACCTATAAAGAGGTGGCAATGGTAGAACACTTTAAAGACTAATAACCTACCAAGCATACTGTAACCACTAAAAATGGGCTGTTAAGACTAATTTCTGGTCAGTTCACGATGATGATCATCATCATCAAGTTCATAATCCAAAAACTTCGTCAATCCAGTTATGCACCAAATCATTAGTTTTCAACCACAAATTATAAATTAAGAATGAGATTAATTATCTAGAATGAAAGTAAAAGAAGAATAGTCCTTAGTTATGAACTTACACAGACCATGTATAACACTTCACAACCCAACCAAACACGAATGCTTATGTTTCCATCAAATGCGAAACATTTTGAGAGAATGGGGACGAAGAATGTTACGAACATAAAACACCAAACTGGTGTGTCTACCGTCACTTAATACAGGGGAACTGCAGAATAAAGTCATGTTTATTCTTACAAAGGATGATACCAAACACTTCACAAGCCTAAACAAATCTATCCTAAATATCATCAGCTTGGCACATTTTAGTGAAAATTTGGCTACATAAAGAGAAAATACTGAACAGCAAAAAAGTACCTTCAAAAGATAGTGTACAAAATCTTATATTGTCTTTAAGACTTGGTTAGGTCTTCATGATATCAAAACTATGTCCTGAAGATACTGAAAAACAACTGAAATTAGAAATATGGACTGCAAGGGTTTTGCACATCAAGTACATTTACTACTTGAGCTGCTTATTCAAAGAGAAGGGTAACAGAACAGATTCTAAATGTTTTGAAAAATGTCCTTAAAATGAAATTAATGAAATTTTAAATTCAATTTTTAAAGAAGTGCTGAGCTTTACCATCTAGTTCACTTAAAAATTAGGAAATAAAAAAATAATAATAAATGAGCTGCTTTTGAGTAGGCAATACAAAAGGCATTGTAAATCCATCACATCTTATAAGTGATTGTTATAAAAGAAAAGATTACTCTTATCACACAATGATGGTTACCTAATTATTACTTGCCTAGTATTTAAGCAGAGGTGATTGTCAATGGGGACGGGACTGATAAAGCACATACCATTTAGAAGGAAAGTACAAAAAACCCTTCCTGGACGAAAACGTTTACTTAATAGACAATTTGAAAAGGAAATGAAGTTCTAATTATATCTGAAAAGGTAGGAATTCAATACTTCATAATTGTTGTAAAGCAAGAATATTGACAACAAAAAACAGCAGCCAGGCATTTTATGAAAAATCCCTTTTAATGATAAACAAGACTCCTCTTACCTCAAAAATTGTCACAAGTGTAACTTCATAAAACACAAGATAGCAAGAGTGAAAAGAATTAATGAGATGTAACCGAGATGCTACCTTGATGGGGGTAGAAAGTGCCAGAGACCATTCAGTAAAAAGTTCTTCCATTGAAAAACAATTGCCACTTCATCACAATACAAGATTAAAGTAACCATTTCATTAAATTTTGTGACAAAACTAGTGGCCACTCAGATGAAGTAAACATGACATTCCCATGCACAAAAACAAACGTGTACAGGAATTTGCCAAATTCTTGATGTTAAACTACCAACAAGAACATGCCAATAAAATGTAAATGCAATTCTCCTGATACATAGTTCATTGCCAAGGCCTAGTAGCACAATAATGTTGTAGTACATCCTTGCTACCCTCACAGAAGACGTATTTGTGATAAATAAACTATAGATTTGACATTTATATAAAACAATTTTATATAGAAGGCATATTGACTTTGTTTACATCGATTGATGATTGCAAGGTAATACCTAAGCATTCTAACAAAGTCACATACTCCTTTTTCAATCAGACAATAATGGTATTGTATTGAAGAATGGCAACAGAAAAAGAAACTCTGGACCAAATGTTGTCCAAAGAGTTTTGGAGAATGTGATGTTGCACATCCCTGCCATTTAAAGCACGCCAAACAAGGCAGGCTCTTGGAGGATGGCAATTGCAAATGGAAGAACGGCCATTGGAGTTGTGAACAAAGAGAACCTCTAAATCATGTGTCCTAAGCCTTCCTATTTCCTGATTAACAGAATTAAAAATACCATTTACAATAATCAACCTGCTTTGTGCATATCAAACACATAGATTGGTAGTTTCCATAGAATAGGGGAAGTCTGATGCCTTGTGGGAGTTCCCAACTGTCCCCGGACAATAAGGTGGGCACACAACTATGGCTTATGGCAGCTGATACAGTGCCAACCTATGTCCGAGCTGACGCAAAGTGAAAGCCTGACTAGTAAGCAAATACATGTATGATTATCAATGTTAAAAAAAGCCTACTGGGCCAAAGAATAAATTTATCTCTGGGGAGTTGGCAAGGCTTAGCTACCCTCTTGGGTATTCTCTAAACTAAGGAAAGTACGAATTAAAAAATGACCCGGTGCTGAAGGCTTCCATCTCTCTTAAACTTTGTTTCTGTACGAATGTGCGAATTCCATTGAAAGGACACCTCAAATGTCAATCGCACACTACTTGTGACATGGGTCTCTTGGGGCGGTGAATGATAGGCGAGGAAGGACTTTTGTGACAATGGCAGTTGGGAGAGAAACAGCTCATGAAGCACAGGAGACAAATTACAGTTGGACAGTGACAGACAAGAGATACAGAACACTGTCAGAAGAGAACGGGCTCTTAGGACAAAGGTTGTCGGAAGAGGACGGACTTTTGGGGCTGTGACTGCTGGGAGAGGAAGGATTCTTCGCTAGTCACTGTTGGAAGACAAATGACTTTGAGAAGAGACTGTTAGGAGAGAAGTAACTGAGGCAGTGCCTGACAGGAGAGATGTAATTCTTAGGCAGTGACTGACAGGAGAGAAGTAGCTCTGAGGTAATGACTGACAGGAGAGAAGTAACTCTTGCACAGTGACTGACAGGAGTTTTATGGCAGTGACTATTGAAAGAGAAAGCTCTGTTCTGGCGGTGGCTGTCAGGAGACAAATAACTGAGTGAGCATCGGGGAAGAAATGACTTTCGTTGCAGTGGCTGAGACGAGAGGAAGGGAGCCAATGACACTCACCTTGTCCCCGATCTTGCCGGTCCACCAGCCCTCGTCGCCGGAGATCTTGGCGTCGGTAGACAGCACCTCCACCACCTCCCCGCGCCGCAGGCTCAGCTCGTCCTCGCCCTGCGCCTCGTAGTCGTACAGCGCCGTCCACAGGCTCAGCAGGCGCGGGGACGACGACGAGGCGGCGGACGCCGTCCCGGACGACGGCGGCGGCGGGGCGGCCGGCCCAGCGCCCCCGCCTGCGCGCGCCCCGCCCAGGGGGCACCGCGGCCTCGTCGTCCTCCTTGCCCCCGCGCCCGTTGCTACTGCTGCCGTGCTCAGTGCCCGCTGTGGTGGCGTGTTGGATGTGGTGTATCGGTGCGTGGTGGCCGCTCCACCCCGCGCCTGAGCTCGTGCGCAGGCCAGCAACGCCGTACCGACGCCGCCGCGCCCGCTGCGCTCCGCGCCCGCGACATCTTGCATATTTCCATGAACGTCGCTTGCGAGCGGAGGCATCGTGTCGCGCGCGGCGGGCGCTCGGGGGGGCGGGGCGGCCGCGCAGCGACGTGCCGCCGCCGTGTCGTTCACGCGAGCGGGGGGCGGGGGACCAGCCGCGGGCCCGCTGCCTGCTGCACGAGGGCTGCTGCTGCTGCCGCCTGCCACCCGCGCTACACCAACACCTACGGGCGCGCGCCGGCGTTGTTGTGGTGGTGGTGGTGATGGTGGTTGAGGACGGCGTTGGCCCAGTTCTCATGGCCTACATACGCGGCGGGCGATCGTCGCCGCCGCAGCCGTCGTTGTCGTCGTCTTCGCAGTTGCCTCCGCGGCCCTCCGCCGCCGTCGCAGTCGCTTATCCCCGCCGGAGCACCTCCGCACCGTCCACCGGAGATCGTAGCACTTGGCGCACATCACTCGCGAACCGAAGGGGAAGCCGCGGCGGCCGACCGCGCCCCGCGGAACATTCGTCGCACGCGAAACGACGCGAAAACACTTGCGCTCATAGTTACCCTAGCTATCAGCTTCCACCATGTTAAAAATACATTGATGAGAAGGGCGTCTGCGACGCTGAGCGCGAGAGGAGCTTGCGGCCGTCGGGGATAGAGCGCGCGGCAGTCGTGGTTCGTGACAGCACGGAACAAAGGCGACGAATGATTCTTCGAAGAAACAGGATGAAATATCGGTCTTTTTCGTATTTATATAGACTATTAACTTGAATTACAACAAACATTATTACCAAGAATACTTCTAAGCGATCTTTAATGCCTCCCTCATCCACACTGAAATAGTCTAATATTGCTTAATCGCATCTTAAATCCTCACTAAGCATTATAAACAGCCTACTCAATATCTTTCAGTACTATTTAACAATGTTTAAAAACGTTTTGAGTATTTGTTTACACACAGAGATCGTAAAGAATGGTTGGGGCCAGGTATGTAGGTCAGAGTCTTCGAATAATCTTCATTCAATGGAACACATTACGATCAAAACAGGGTGTGACAAGCTGTTTCATTGGTCCCAACTTTCCCACGTGATAGTGGATTTTCAAGATGTCTGCCTTCTGAGACATTGATTGTGTCATTACTGCGGTTCTTACATTTAACCTATGTGTCTGTGAATGCACGTCATTATGAAAAATGAACGTTAAAAAGAAAATACGACACCATGGGATCTCAAACTCTTGAAATTCTGCGCCAAGGAGTTTGGGCATCGTTAACAGGAGGCTGGTTTTACGATCCTCATCAAGATATATTCTGCAACACATTTCACTTATACGTGTGGCTTTTCCTACTATGTTTACCTTTCACAATATATCTGGTAAGTGATTCTCGAATGTGTTTCTGGTGTTGTGCTAAGCAAGTTGCCGCTGATTATCTGACGAATCTTCAGTTTTGTGGTGTGAAATTGAGAATAGTGAAGGAGGTCAAAGTCCTTGTTTCTAGGCTAGTTTATTGTTCTCGAGTATTATAAACTGTCACGGGGTCGTTGGTCAAACATTCCTGCATTAGGAAATGTCGTGAATCATCAAAGAGAAAATTCTAGGGCGTCAGCGAAAGAAGATCACATAACAAATAGGGGAAATGCAATGATAGTGCTATCCTAACCTATGATATGGAACTCTGCCAACATCGTGGCTGTAACCCAATCCCGAGATGCTAGCGTCGCTAGAATATTTGCGTCTCTCAGAAATTAGATGCCTCTTTACAATTCACAAAAATTATTCATTCTAATTATGATACTTACTTCAAAATATGAAATATTTAAATTTGTGTACTGTAGACATTTGCTGTCATTTGTAGTAAAGTGTGATTGACAGCTGTAATGCACACATGTTGAAGATTTTGTTATTTAGCCTGTAATGACATTTTTTTAAATATTAGTTTTTTATTTATTTGATATAGTCGTAATCGAAGAGTAACCATTAATTGACAGTCCATATTTAATTAGCAGTTTTAATGTTTCGATTGTAAATTACTCAATAATTGTGTGAGAGGGTGTAGAGATTAATGGGAATTGATATAAAGGATGACCTATGCAGTACAAATTGGCAAACAAGAAACTTTGAAGTCATGCCATGCATAGTTTGCATTTCTTTTCAATCCAATGGAGATTAACGACTCTAAAATGTCTGTTTATATAAATCTCCTGAGTATTTTCAAGAGCATTGTGTATGAATCAGTGACTTTGAAGGTAAATTTGTAGAAGGTAGACCTACTAAAAAGTATTTTATCATTGTAACAAAAGATCAGAATGCACAAGAACAGTATTTATAATGCTTCTAGAATGCTTGAAAACTATAGTGCTATGAATTATGAACAAAATAGGGTCTAATGTTTTACTGTTACGTTTTGCTCTCTTTATTACCACTAGCCACAGTCTTTTATTTTTTTTTCAGTACTTCCCTCCAACTGCGTATGCATGGGGGGCCTATTGTGCTACAGTGGCAGCCCTGTTTGCCACCCTGAAATTAACCAACCTGGGCCTGCACCGGATGTTCGACACATCAGAGAGGATTCAGGAACCGGGACCTCCTGTCAGCGATGACCCTCTTGCTGGGCGACGATTAGTTCCCATCCATCCAAACAAACGGCGGCGGTATGCAGTTGCCTATTTGTATGATACCACTTATAATTTTCACCTTTTTTGGCAAAACTAATATTCTTAATTAATGCATGGTTGTAGAAATTTTATCTACTGGCCTGATACCTTGGTTCATTTGGTTAATCCAGAGGTTAAGCTCCTTAGTGTCAGTTTTAGCAAAGGACATTTTCACTTCTGTAAAGACAATGATAAACATGCATTGTCATTTGTTTTAAGTTATTATTCTAACTACATGACAAAACATATTTGAAGTTAATAGCACGCATTTTAAAGATGAGATTAAATTAGTCTCTTGTTGGATAAAATCATGTAGCTAGTGTTGTCAAATTTATTTTCATGACACAACTCTACTAATCTGGAAGCAAATCAGTCAGTAAGTCAGGTAATCATCAAGCTATTACTTTATTCATAGAAATTGCAGTTGAAGTGTTAAGTAAACTGGCATACTCTTTGATGTATGGAATGCATTAATTTTTTTTTGAGAATTACAAATGGATTGAGTTATCTGTCCATTCATCCTTGTGATGAGTCTGATATCTATTACAGTAGCTCTGTGCCCTTTCCCATTCTTCCTGATTGTTCTAGAACCGAGACCACTTTTTTTTGCCTCTACCCATATTTTCATGTACCACTGCTAGATAGTTTATCTTCCAAATCTCAACACTTGTATATTTTTTATTGCTATAATGGAATTCTTGAGACTGATTCTGCCAATCGACAGCTAAAATTAATTGACAAACTATGTTAGAATTTAATAACAGTTTACTGAATTGTTGAATGAATGCATGGGACATTTATTTCTAATTATGTATTACGTAATATAACAAGTTATATTTTTAAAAAAATTCACAGCTATATTTTAGTGTACATTTGTGTGTACATTTGTTTCGTGCTTCAGTTGTCCATATTTCATCCAAAGTCTGTTTTTTTATTAATCATTCTAAGGTTTATAAAAAATGGTCTGTTTGGGAATCTCTAATTTTGAGTGGTGTTCTAATCTTGGAGTCAGAATATTTTGAGAGTCAAGTAGATTGGAAAAAGAAAAAGAAAAAAAAGGGATAGATAGGTAGAAAGAAAGTGAGGCTAATCATATCTTCCTTGTGCAGTAAAACCTTACTTGTACACTTTTCAAGGGTCTGAGAAAGAAATGATGTAAATTGCAGGAACAAGTGAATGGAAGGGGGGGGGGGATACTTTTGCTTCTATATTAAAATAAAGATCATTAATTCTGTTAGTTAATAATATTAATCTTTATTTGAAAATCATTGGCTTCTTAGACTTGCACTTCGAAAAACACTGATTGTATTCCCTTTTTTTCTTTGAATTACATTAAATCAGAGCAATATCAAGTAATTCAATCACGTCAACAATGAAGAATTAGATTGCTTGGTGGGAACAAACCTAAAAGTACATGAAGCATCCTACCCTCCTTTGTTGATCAAACAGACAATACAAGATAAAAGGTAGGATATTTTCAAAATTGTGATAGCAGGCACGGTTTTGCATTGTAAAAATAAGGGAATTGAAGGGATTAGTAAAAATCTGTGAAAATGGCAGGAAATTGTAAATTCCAGGAATGTTAAAGCAAGGTTTTACTGTAATTATCCTGGAGTTGTTCATGTCTGTTAAACTTACAGTTCTTGTTTATGCTTTTTGAGTAGTTCTTCATCTGACATTATTAAAAGATGTTCTAGAAGTCTTAACATATTTACTAATAACATGAGAATATTTTTATCGTACTTTTTTTCAAGCCTAGGTTAAACAATATCGTCAGAAATAAATCTGCCTTTTTCTCCCTGTAGTGTTTATAACATTAAAATTTGATATTTTGAAATGCATTATTTTTGAGCCACAGTTGGAAACACACACAAAAAAAAGAGAGAGAGTGACGTCTTGTCTCTCAAAAACCTCACGTCATGTTTCATAATTTGTTTGTCAGGATATTTTTGAAAAGTCACTTGTTCTTCAAGCATTAATCCTTTTGGCCCATTGCATGATCTTTTTCAATCTTGGTTGATCCACCAACATGTCTTTTCACACATTTTTTTATTTTGGAACTATATAATAAGATTTTATGTCTTTTTCAATACGAATATAAAGTGGGGATCTGCTCACTATTTGCATAGTTCACTATTTCATTCTTGTAGACAACAGATGTTTAGGGATTTCCTTATTTCTTCATTACGGATGAGATATCTTCTTAGACCTGCTATAGAACCAACACTCAGTACTCAGCATGCTGAATATTCATATTCACGTGAAATTTAACTAGCCTGTACAACACCATTCCAAAACCTTGTATCTAATAGTGTTTTGAAGAATCTGTGAAAATAACTTCCATACGGTGCACTTGGCGACTTCACACCATGATTGGTTACTATTTTTGCGCTGGATGCAATTATTGTAAAAAAAAATTGTTTCAATTACAAAAGTGAAATAGATTCATTTATTTTAAATTCATTTAATTATTTTATACTATTTTTTTTATTTTTTCATTCATTCATTTATTTATTTATTTTATTCTGGTCATTGAAACCATACTGCAACCCTGAAATACTATTCTTACATAAAGATGATCATGGATCTTTCTTTTTACTATAAACTGTAATCGAATTATTGTGGTGGATCTTCCCATCTTTCTGAACCTGGTGTGAGACAATCTTTCTTGTCATATTCTCTGAGGTAATGTTGACCATAATGACAGATACACTGATAGTGCCAATGTGGTGATGTAACAGCTGCCAGTGGCAGAAGGTGAAAAAAAATCTGAACACTAATTGACACAAAAAACACTACTTAGAATGCTTCATAACACTTAAAAATTTACTCACAAGCATTTTGCATGGTACTGAACAAGATGATAAAATTTCAAGGCAATCCAGCAGGGTGAATGCTGCATGTAAGAAATTTTATTTCAGCTGATTTTATTCTACTTCTGTTCTGGTATTGGGGAGTGTCTGGGTCTTACCATTATCTTGAATTCTGTATTTTTTGTGTCAGAAACGGTTTCTGTACTTGAGGTGGCTTACATTTCATAGGTTCTATGTTATCTATTCTTAGAGCTTTTTGGTTTCTAAAATTGTCAAAGGCATTTTGTAATTCTATCATTTCAGTGATTTCAATGGCGTGCAGTAGTTGCCAGAATTCTTTTTCTGTATTATTTAAGGTTTTGTTGTTCTAAAGATCTTTGCAATGTTTTAGCCACTGATTCATATTTAGTTGTTGAATGTCAATTTTTTTTGTCATGGCTAAGATATTTCATTACTCATTGTCATTCCCTGATGCCCATCAATATAATTTTCAAAATTCAAATGAACATTCCCAGCTTATTTTATGAACATTATGCACTAGTGTGTGCGTGCATGCTTTTGAATGTGTATGTGTTTTTCACTTCTTTCTTATTTACAGCGTCTTTTAAATATTTCCATGGGCACAAACCTTTCCTACTCTTTCTCTTACCAAGAACTTCACAGGCTGTTTTTTCTATCAGGTGTTCAATCCATTATTCATGTTGTGTTGGTAACAAAGTTAGGGAGTAGATGTTTGAAAGTGAGCAGAGTGAGAAGGCTGGTCAGAATGTAGAACCGTGACAACAAAATGGATGTCTTTTCTAATTTATCTCTACAAATTTTCTTTTGTACCATGTGGTTTTTAATTTTAGAATTCCTCTCTATGCGCGCAGTGATGGTGTAACGGTTAGTGTATCGGACTGTTGTACTCAAGTTGGCGGGTTTAAACCCGATCGAAGCTGTGGATTTTTAAGGGCAAAAAAGTCCGTACGCCTTCCTTCGGAGGGGAAGTAAAGCCAGCTGTTCCATGTTAGTACTTTTTACTTGCATGTAAAAGATCCTCAAGCCTAAATGACACCTCTGACCTAAATTCAAATTGCCCATTTCTCGCCCAAGAAATACCTCCTTTCTCTGCTAGCTGGTGAAAGGAGCGTAGCGAAATTTGCGTGTTTAGACGGAAGAGCAGGCCTCATGGTCTGAGTCTCGCCGTGTAAAATAAGGCATAAATTCAATTCAATTCTCAATAGAAAACGATCACTACTACTATTACAACCTCTTAGTACTTTTACTTCATCAAAGTTTTGCTGTTATCTGGATGACAATAAAATAATTAAGAATTTATCTAAGTTGTCTGGAAACCGATGTGCATTTGTGTGTTTTCTTGTGGTTGAAGAATGAATTAAGTAATTATTTAAAAAACATGTGAAAAGACTGTCTTTTCCCATTGCTGTTATGAATTGATTCATCCAATTCTGTCTTTAATCGCTTTGTTGCCTGTTCTTGCATTAAGATCTCGTGTGAGGATTAGATAATTATTTTTATTTGTTCTATCAAATCATCTTGTAAATTTCTTATAAGACAATTATTTCCTATTTTCTTCTGGTGTGAAAACTGCAATGACATGGGAGATATTCCCGATTTATCTTGAATTTTACAGGTTACAACCGTTTTACTAATCCAGATATAGGAAACAATTTTTGCTTTCCATTTCTTGTTAAACAGAATTCCTCCCCCAGCAGAGACTCATGAACTGACACACTACTGAACAACAAAACATGGTCCTAAATTGTGTGTACCCCTCTGCTTCGTCTTCAATCTTTAATATTTTTGTGATTATCATGAAAAGCGAACTTGCCTAAACTATCAAGGAATATTGATACATTACTTAAAAATATTTTCGAGAAAAGCTGTTGTAATCCAAGAAAACATTTATAATACTGAGTAATGTTTATTAATAAATGTCTTTTCAATAAGAATTCAAGAAGTTTTGAAATTGAAAACTTAATTGTTACAATCTTCTTTGAAAAGTTAAGTGCATAAGAATTTCAAAATTTAATTTTCAGTTGGGCATAATGTACATAATAAATATTGAAAATACTGCCTGAAAGCAAATCCATGTGGAGCAGAATCAACAGGAAAAATTATCCCTTTTTAAATTGCTATGCCTTCCTTTTATTAAATTGCAATACTTTATTAAAGGAACTAACAAGGTCCTATACTGGTTATGATTATTTACTAGAATCTACTACCATTTTCTCAGAAACTACTGAAGATAGGAATCTGAAATTTTGTCAGATGCTCTATTGTAGTATTGTATATCTACTGAACTAGAATTATACAAATTGTGTCTGGTTTTGTTTTATATATTTTTTCTTTAAGTAAGTCTTTTTGAACACTTTTTCCTTAATCCATAATTTTTGTATTTCAAAAAGTATGAATTTAAATATATTAATTACTAGAGTACCCATGCCAAAACTCTTGCATGTTAATGTCCACCCTTTTCCTCTCGTTTCCATTAAGAAGGAAAGTTGTTAATGAAACATGTTTATTTGTTAAAAAATGTATAAATGTAACTTTGTACTTACAGAATATCTGACAAAAAATGCAATTGATGTTGGAAACAAATTTACAATAAAGGTTTATTCAGTGTTATACAGATATGTTCTTCGAACAATTCACACTTCCCTAAAAATAAAATTGGAAATAATTATTTAATCTTCCTTGACAGTTAACTTTTTGCTCCCCTTAATAGTCACAAATATATTAGAAAAGATTTTTACTCTTGAGAAAGCCAAGTCAAGTTTTCCATGCAAAAATACAGGATTGGGCAAGTGCAACCCTAACCTTTGCAATATTATTTAACTTTTCTGGTTTTGTTATGAGGAACAGAGGGGGGTTTTGAAGCGGCAGAGCACCAGATTGCTGAGGTACAAAAATTGAAAAATTACCATAATTGTAAACTGAAAAGTACTGGATTATCTTCTGTATTCTTACGCAACTCAAGAAAAGCAATTCTGAGCAAATATAAAACTAATATTTTCCCCTTTGATAATAAATACCATTTGTGACCATTAACAACAATTCAGTAGGGTTAGACTTCACCTCGGTACATGGGAATGTTGCTAATACATTGTTTTTGTATTGAATATCTTGCGAACTGACACCGTAAGTTTAATATCAAGCAGTGTATTATTTACCATATGAGTTTATAGCTGGGCATTGATACTGACTTCCAGATACTGCCAACATTTAAATTTTGCGTTTGGATTGTGATCATTGGCAGTTGTTGAGTGACTTGCACTAGTCTTTCTATAATTTTTAATTTAGGTACTTTTTTAAATTAATTCACGTAGTATTGTAAGCTAGCGCATTTTGATTCTTGTTGTTCATTTCATTAAAGATATTTTACTTCAGTTAATTTAAAAAGTTGTGCCATAGCTGAAGTTTTTTCCTACTACCTCTGTATATCAGTGTGAGAACTCTTGCATGTTAACCACACATCGTTTGTATCCTTCTATTTCCATTCTAAGAGGGAAAGTTGTTAATGAAATGTATTTATTTGTTTAAAAATGTATAAAGGTAACTTCTACTGTACTAACAAAATCAAATAAAAACAATGCAATTGATGGGCAAAAAGAAATTTCATCATCTTCCTTTATGGATTAGGCATATTGCCTGTTCCAGCTTTCCATCTCATTCTTGGCCTTCTAATATTTCTCTTTCCCCTCAGCTTATAATTCAGGGCTTGCACTATAAGTTTGTTTTGCCTCATATTTCCAATATGGGTCACCCATTGCTGTCTGTACTTAATTTTGTCATGTACTCTTTCTTTCTACCCTAGTTCCTCTCTTATTTTCTCACTTTTCAAAATATCCGTTCATTACAAAATTGCATTTCAGAAATCCTAGGTGTTTAGAGCCTTTTAATATTAGGTTTAAATAATAAAATGTATAAATAAATACTTGTTAAAGTTATTTTCAATGGTTAATAATTAATTCGGTCATTAATATTTGAAACTCCTTGTTCACACTGCCCTTTCATGTCGTCAGAATAGAGTTTGTTAATGTTTAATTCGTGAAATATGTTTCAGTTCTTAAAAAAATTATTTGATTTGTTTTCCTATTAAAGAACAGAAATAAATCAGAAAGCTATTGTAGTGAGGCTGGGTTGTAATGTTCTAGTGGCCTAAAAAAGCAAAAACAATGATAGGTTATAAGTATGATTGCAAAATAAAATGTTAAATATTTCAAATAGTAAATTAGTAAGTTATACAAAGGACTTTTGTTGGAACTCATGGTTCTCACTTGTAATGTCTAGCGTTAGTTTTGAAATTACTAATGTTTCTCACTTCTTTTTTTTATATAATCTTAATGATTATAACATGTTTCTGCTTTCTTACAAGCTTTCCACAAAGTCACATTCAATGGATAAATCCCTAGAAGACTAATTGCTTCTCTCCCCGTGGCCCAAAGTAATATGGGACCATTGTGAAACATTTCATATTCTAAGAATCGAAATGAAGTCTCTTAATATTCATCTTCCCTCCTCCCCCACCTCCATTAAGATTTTCTGAACGTACTGTTATTAAATCATTGTTTGCAAGTACTTTGTTATTTTCTGTTACTAATATTATCTGTTACTCTGCAGGGAAGAAGAAAATGGAATTGAGTTACAAGTTCTGGGAGGTGCACGACTTCCATCTACAGGTGATTCTCCTCCAGCTGGCCGCTCATCCTCACGTAATTCATCATGTGGTAGCCCTGGTTTGCCTCGTGCATCTTCCACCAGAGGGACGGCTGCTGACAGGGATCGAGATAGCTTGGTTTCAGCTGATTTCACATCACCTGCTGTGGGAGGTAACAGCTTTTAAAAACCAAGTCGTAACACATGCAAAACAAGATGATTAAGTCTCAGAAGTTACGCAATTCATGGCTCCATGTATTCCCAGTCGGGTGACTGTCTGGAAACCCCTGTTACTAAGAGCGCTGAGCACCTGGCCAAAAGGATAAAAGGCACTGACTGACCTTGACATTACAAGACTTGGCAAAAATAAAACTTGATGGAGGATTACTCCTGTAATACATAAAAGAAATAAAAAAGCACACAATTTACACAATTCTTCTGCTTTTTTATTTCTTGCTTAATTTTTCTTTCTGAACAAATATATTCATTTCTTTTGTAAATAGTAAACAATTTCCATGTTTGTGGAGTCTTTCTATGCTTTTATAATGCAAACTTTTGTCCAAAAATAATTTTTTCAAACCAAATTTTTAAATTATTGCGGCTTAGCCATTTGGAATACCCTAGTAGTTTATAAGACAAAATATTCTTAAAATTGTCTTTAGAGCTTATTTTCGATGTTCCTTCCTGAACATTGTGTGTTAATTTTTCAATATATTTTTAATAATAATTTTGTGGTTTCGTAATAGAAGAATGAAAATGTCTTTAAAAATATAAGTAAAACTTGGTTGTGTACACAAATTTTCATTGAAAAATTTGGAAATTTAAAAAAGTGTTAACTTTAAAGGAAATGCACAATTTTGAGTTCATTTTCTGAGAAACATTTTTTAAAAACTTCATAAGAAATCATTTGAAGCTCTTGCACACATACGTGCAATAAAATTTGAATGCCTGTAACATAAATATTACCATTAGGGATATTGAAAAAAAAATTAGTGTATAAATTTTGGAAAATCAAAAGGTTAAATCAATAGGGACTTTGTCATTTCATTCAATGCATTTATCACCATACATATAAAACGATTAAAAACAAATTGAGCCGCTTTTGACAATGATGTTTTTAATAACATATTGAATTCTTACTTTCTTAATTACTGGCAAATGTCCAATACAATATTATAAATTTATTCTAAACTTTTGCAGTCACAAGTGGTAAACAATGTAATACTTATCAATAAAAAGTTGTCACAGTATCATAGATTTGACAATTGCAGGACATCCTCAATGATAGTTAGAAAGAATCATCTTTACCTCAAGGGTTCCATAAACTGATGTGCAGAGCTCTCATTAAAATCTATATTTAATACATTTGAAAAAGATAAATTCTGCTAAGAGAACAGTGATAAAAACCATTAGTTTTAGCAGTAGGCATAAAAAAGTATCACAGTTTGTCAGACCTCTATGCAGCTCTTTCCCTCAAATTTTTTGACAATACTTCTCCAAAATCAATGCCATTTCACAATAAATTTCTAAAAATACACAAGTAATTATCATTTCTATGTTACTTCAATAAGCTTAATATTCCCCAAAATTTGCTCAAAATTGTGCAAAAACTACAAATATTTTCAAAAAATGTACTTGATATTAATTATAAAACTAATTGTGGAGAACAAATTTTGTTTAAAGAAAAAGATCTATCTTCAGTAATACAATTGTATAAGGAGGTACAAAATGTAGTAACGTTAAGAATCCAAAAATTCTGGGGTAAGACTGGGGGGAAAAAATATTTTTGAAAATTACAGAGCATCGAGTTCAGTCACATCAATAAGAAAATATTCATTTTGGAAAAAAAACTGTGAATAGTTTAATGCTAGTTTTGTTCAGAAATGTATGGACAGGCCAAAACACACTTTTTTGGTGTCTGGGAATCTCAAACCATGTATTTGTGTTAAAATCTCAATATATTTTCTGCATCTTTAAATAACTTCTTAAACTTGTGGTGTTCCAGAATGGCTGAGACTTTCTGGTGTTAGTTTCGTATTTTCTTTGGCCTCTAAAAGTCAACCAGGGCCTCTTGTGATAACCTCTGGCAAATTGTGAAGAGCACATTTACACATCCTCAACATCACATGTACATATTTGTATCCTGTTCCTTTTCGTTTTTGCCTGTGGTAATCTTTAGGCTCTCCTCATTTCTTGTACAAATGTTTCAAGTGTGGAATCCAGTTCCTCAATTAAACACATCGATTGCACACACTTACCTGTATCCAAGACATGGAAGATTTATGAAATTGATGTAATACACTATACCTCTAACAGCACTGAAAACGTCCTATGTTGGCTTCAAACCCTTTTGGCTTGCCTGCCCCAAACCCACCTTGCAAGGCTGATTCACATTGCTACTGAACGTAAACTGTTACGGCTTAGTAATATTTTCAAATATTTAAAAGAATTGTTTTTTGATAAAATCTTGTTTTTATTATTGTCCACATTTAACTCAAAATTCTGCAGTTACTACTTATACATTAAAAAAAATGTAACGTTATTAATTAAATAACTAATTGGGGGAAGAAATTTTATTTGAAGAAAAAATCTCTAATTTAAATAATGTAATTATTTAAAGGGGATGAAGAAAAATTTTGAATTTTCACCGTTTTGGAAAATTCAGGGCTAACAATACACATTGGACATTTACCAATTTTATAAGTGATTTTCACTCTATTGTTACTGGTAATTTTCAAAAAAATTGAAGCAAAGTTTGAGAATTTTGGAAATGTTCCAGGTGTTTCATGTAATGAACCCAAAAAATTTGAAGAAATCTTTTCAAAATCACATGGTTTTGAGTCCTCTCAAATTGATTGGGGAAAAATCCTACAAATCTTAGGCTCTAATTAGACAGACATGTTTGGAAGGAAGAAAAACAAAGATTTTTCAGTATTATGGTACCCCAAAATGTTTATTTTTATTGAAACCTCAAATTAGATTTCTTGTAATTTTACATAACGTTCTTTTCTCTATGTATGTTACTACGTATATACAAACATAAACAGGGTAGTAAAGAGGCATTGAGATATCAGAAAAGCTGTAGTGAACAGGCCCATATTGGTGTTATCCTTGCCTACATCACTAACAGGTGTTTACTCCTGTTTCTCTGGTTCTCATGGCCCACAGTGTTTAAAGGATGAACTAGTCCTTTTCAAAATGCGTGAGCTTCGTAACAAATGGTTGCAAAGCATTTGTAATTCTTTTTCAGACCTTCGTGTTGATGTGCATCGCAAAAACAGCAGCGAGAGTGGAGAGGAGGCAGTTGGCCTTCGACCTGTGGTGGAGAGGGTGGCTGTACATCGCGCCGAGCCCTGCACACAGGCTGATCATGAGCGCTTCCTGCGAGCTCGTCTTGCGTCCACCGGTGAGAATTTCTAATCTTATGTCAGGAGATTTGTTCCAGCATTTCCATTACATTCAATAGTTTCAACATTTTGTTTCTTCATTGTATTTAAGTTTTTGTTCCTGCAAAAAATAAAAAAAATAAATTGGAAAAATCAACTGGTCATTTTAACACATTTACGGTTGTAAATCCACATGGACCAGTTTAGCAGTAAAAATTTGGTGAATACTAAGGGAAATTATGCATGATTTTTTACATTCCTAGAACCTATGGCCTCTGAAGCAAAAATGCTGCTGAACAAAATCACACAAAATGGTTTTCCAAAAAGAAGCTCACACACTGCTCAAGTACAACAAATAAAAAAATCTCTTGTGTAGCACTTCTACAAATTAAATATTTTAATAAACACTAATGAATATTGCAATACCGCAGTATAATATATACAAATACACAATATAATTGTTCTTTACATACAAAAAATATCAAAAAAGCATGTTATTTGAAGCAACACAGGAATATCAAATATTTAATGATAGATAGCTTTTTCTTTGGGGCCTTGCTGTTACCTTAAATCAGCTGTGATGTGTGATACGTTGTGTGTGAGCAGTTACAGCAGTAATACGTTGTGTGTGAGAATGCATTCAGTACATGTGGTGTGGGAATAATATAGGGTTATTCAAAATGATTGTCAGGGTTTTATGATTATTTTTTTTTAGAAATAATGGAAATAAATATGACTATTATAGGTGCTGCGATTGATAGAAAAACTCTGGAAGTTAAGTTATGCACGATTGTAGTTACCCGAGTTAAATTCAGATGGCAGTTACAGCAGTGTTAAAAAAATTTGGTGATCAGTATGATGAAAGCGTTTTGTACTCTTGAGTATCAACATCAATTCATTACCATAGTCCAGCATCATTTTCACACGATATACGGGAAGAACTCTCCTTCCGACAACTATTTGCAGATGGAATGCTAAATTTGTGAACACAGGCTGTTTGTGTAAAGGGCAAAGCAGTGGATATCTTCCTATGCCAGATGCAAAAGTGAATTGGATGAGGAAAATTTATCTCCGTAGCCTTAAAAAATTGACTACTTGAGGGAGCAGGGAACTGATTACAGAATGGTTATTATCATGGTTAAAGACTACAGAGACATTTTCCTTCTACATCGGGATGGTGCAACTTTCACATCCATGGATCTGATGTAGGACAGACCGTGATCAGATTCTCTTACCTTCGCCACTACGTTCACGCTGTAAGATTTTTTCCAAACCTCACGCCATAAGATATGTTTATGGTCGAGTTTTTATCCCTCCTCTGCTGACAAGTATTCTGGAACTGAAGCAGCACATCAGATTCAGCTTCCTAAGCATCATTAGATCAAGAGATGTTGGAGCGTGTGTGTGTTCTTTTTGGGGGGGATTGACTACAGGGTGGATTGTCGACTGACTAACGGTGCCCATATTGATCATTTGTAATGTACGTAAAAGAACTTTTGAGTTCTAGTTAAAAAAAATAAGGTTCACATTTCAATTAGTCACAGGGTAATGGTCACCAACTACACTTTAATAACAGTCAATTGCCCTGTGTATTATGATTTTTTGAAATCCTGACAATCATTTTGAATGACCCTGTACAATAAAATATTTGCATTTTTCAGACAAAATTGAAACTGTTTCATTAGTTATTTTTGCCCATTTCCTGAGAATCTAACGAAACCTTCCTCAGATGTCAGGATGCGACAGTTTTCTGACAATTTCTCTGTGCATTGGAAATTAGTAATATAGATGGTTTTTTTCTTTTGTCCCTTGATTTATTTCTTCACATCACCTCCTGTTCTTCCTAAGCTTCAGTGCAGTGATTCCTTCGTTTTCATAAGGCAATAGATGGTGTGAAGAGCTCACATTCATAAAAGTACATCTTGAATCTATTTTAAAAACAATACTTATGCTAGTGATTTTGAAGTACACTGTTGTAAAATTAATTTTCAAATTTTATCTATCTAATTTCAACAGTTGTAAAATTAATTTGTGCTCTGAACATTATGGTCTTTAAGTTAACATTGCTTTACTGGGCCAAAGGGCATTTCAGTCTTGTGTACTCTTCACTCTAAGCATTATATTCTGAAGCCGAGCTCATAACTGATACTAACTACATGGTGAACATTCTGTTATAACATTTGCACATGTGATGTGTTCAATAAAATTAAAATTACTCTTATATATTAGTAACTTTTAGTGATTCATGATTAGTGATTCAATACTTCAATTTTGCAGAGAAAGGAGGTCGAGGTGATGAGGTCCGGGGCACATCAAGTCGCTGGCGAAAATCAATCTCCCATCAAACCTCTTCAACTGACAGCCAAGAAGATCGGCCTGGGGCAGCAGTGGCCAATTCGGGCTCTGAGCCACGCCCTTCCATTGCTTCAGTGGTGAGTGCTAAGAGTGTCTGTGAACGAAAGTACATCTATAAAAAAAAAGGAAAGCAACATCTTTGTTTGATAGTGTTAAGTTTTACTTTCTTGCTACTGCTTACCTGTAGAGAGAAATTTATGTAATGTTGTGCAAGCTGACAGTGAATTTTCGGCAGAAAAACTCTTACTACTGGGCCCTGGTAACTAAAAAGTGGATAAATCCAGTTGCTAGATTTAGGGGAGGAAAAACACCGTAAAGATAAATGATGGTCTGCCTGTCTGTCTGTCCCTTCATCTGTGCTAGCAGCTAAACCATTCAGCTGATTTTCTACGAAATTGATTTTCTGCTATCAATCAAGCTGATGTCATAGTCTCTTGAATTTGAAACCAAAATTTTAATTTTATGAGGCCCTTTACATGGAACCCCTGGGACTTTTTTAAAATTTTCAAAGCAATGGATGCAACATTTTCTATTGAACTTTATTATTGGATAGTGCAAAGGGCAGTTAAGTGAATGGTGCAGGTCTTGTGTTTGTTGAAAACCCTGATTTTTTTGAAAATTGCGAAAGTTCAAATTTATTTCAGCATCTTCATACAACTAAAACATTAAAGATAGAAATTTTTTCTCTTAATGAAATCTGTTCCATAAAGATAGATTTTGAAGTGAAATCAGATCAAATAAAGTTTTTCAAAAATATGATGACTTAGATACGTTAATTCAGAGAGAAATTCAAAGAGTAACTAATATTACTTAAGCATTACTATCAGTGAGAAAGTATGTGCTGATTTAGCTCCACTACTTTTTATTCTTTGAAAGTTTCTTTATACTAAATAATGTGTTGGCAAATTTTCTCGATCTCAATTTATTAGATTAAAAGAGGAAAGGGGGCAGGCACTTTTTGGTTGTACTAACAAGTTTATTCTGTAGTTTCCTTTTGGGAGGATGGTTCAGGATTTATTGAAGACTGTCCATTTCCTTTTTCTTTTCAGATTTATTGATATAAATCAATCAATAAATCTGAAAAGAAAAAATTGACTCTCTTTAATAAATCATGAACCATCCTTCGAAATGAAAATTTCAAAGTAGACAATCTAGAAAATTAACTTGTGACTTTATTCTGTAGGATGGGGGCTGAAACAAATAATTTTTGGTGTGTAGAGGCTGAAATTTCTTGTTGGTTGCCAACAATCCTCATTTCAATTATTTATTCATAATACAACTATATACAACAAAATTGATGGGGTAAGGATTTTGGAGCACAAGAAAAAATGCAGGGTTAATGCAATATATGCAGATACTCTCCAGCACAATTTCGGAGGTATATAGAACCAAATATACCAAATATTGCATTAAAATATCATAATTTTTCCCAGTTTTGAAATTGACACAGATACAAATTAATGTTCATAAAAAAGTAATCTTGAAAAGTTGTGAAACCATGTAAGAAGGCTGAGAATATCAACAAATGTCACTGAAGTGTCTGTGACCATCTGTATTTATGTTTCATATGCAAATAATAATCATAATATTTTTCTCATTGTCATTCTCATCTTCAATTCTTTTATTGTTTCTTTCTTGCTGGTTATGCCACTTCTAGTTGGTCATCTGACTTTTTAGTGCTTCCTAAAAGTTATGAGTGTTTAATTTACGCCCTTAAAAACATTTTGTTCTGTGTCCGCAGATTTTCTCCCTATCGTGCTCTTGTTCTTGGCCAGTTGATTCTTTAAAAACCATTAAATTGAAATTTGTTAAATTTAATGAGCACATGATTGGTATGTTAACTCAAAAGTCTTTTGTCCCTGTGCATCTGTTCCAAGGAGAGCAATAGGGTAGAGCAACAAAGTTTCTGTAATTTGGGAATTTTTCTAAGAATTTTTAAAATTTAGTTGGTTGTAGAATGTAAATGAAGGTTAATTTTTTTCCATTTTGTTTTTCATTTCTCTTTCAAATTGCAGGTTCACACTCATTGAATCAAGAGTCCATGTGACTTTGTTGAAATTATCACAAACCCAACATAAAAGGAAAAAACACAACAGCATGATTTTTATTAATTATGACACACTGTTTCTCAGTTCAAAGAATATTGGTATTCTCGGTAAACTAGTGTTAAAGGAACGGCATCACCAGGGCTGATCAATCTGGTTGGGGTGACATATAAGGGTGGGGTGATAAAATTGATAATAATATATATATAATATTTATTTTATGTTGTTAATCACAAAACTAAGAGAAGAATTAACTTTTCACTGACTTAGGAATCGGCCCTGGATCGCTGTTCTTGTGACAGTTCGTGCTCGCTATGGACTCGTTTTTCTGTGTGTCCAGTGCTGTTTTCCTGGAGCTGTATTGTCTAAAGACACGGTTCTCTGGTTGGGAGCTACTATGCTGGAGGCAGTAGTGGTTGCTCTTGACGGATCACTGCACGAACAAGGTTCTCAAGCTCTTTTGTTGTGGGTGACACATTTAAAAAGCAAAAGTTTAACTAAACTCTTCGTTAACTTCTTATGCGCTAATGCTACCTCTCAGCATGAAGTCTAGTTCACATCAACACTGGCAGTATTAAGTCAGTGAGATCATTTACGAGATAAACGTCTTTCTGTCTGTA